GGTTGTTGCCTAAGGGAAGGACACACATGAGTGGAAGAAAGTTGAAATTTGTTTATCTTCCTTTTGGTTCAGTCTTATTTAACTTCCTTCTCTGATTTTATCTGAAGGGTCATTTTCTAAGCTTGGGGAAGATTTAAAAGAGACACAGTTCTTAAGTTTTTTCCCTCTTTAGTTAAAAAAACAAAAATCGAAATATAAGAAATATGAGTAAATATGAGAAAATTTCATTATTTGTAATTTTGACTATGGTATAGTATAAAAATACCTGTTTTAAAAAAAGAAGAGAAAAAGAACTGGAATAATGGATATACTAAATTTTAAGATAGTAGATATTTCAGCACATTTGATTACTAAGAAGAGTTTATAGGGCTGCCCTTGATTTTGGCTTTTTTTTTTTTTTTTTGACAGATAAAGTTTTTTACTCATCCTCCTCCTCTTCCACCTTTGTGAGGGCAACTTTGGCACCATCGAGCTTTCCTTTAGACTTAGAGTCGGCGACATGCTTCTCGTCCTTCTCCACAACCCTGCCACCTTGCTGTTGTAAGGCTGCTTCTCACTGTCACTTGTCATTCCACAGCTCACCCAGCTTGTCTGCCATGTCTCCAATAGAGACTTGGATTTGACTCTGGATAGAATTCTGAACAGAACAGAAAGAATCCAGATGGTAGCCTTCGGGGGCATTAGGGTCCTTCTTGCATCCCTGTGCTGGTCCATAATCCTTCATTTCCCGATGAGAGTGTACTTTATGCACCTTTGCCATTTCATCAAATTTAGATTTCTCTTTCCCAGATACTGTCTTCTAGAGCACTTCTTGGAAAGTTCTGTCAAACTGACAGGGAACTCTGGGGTTTTCTTCTTACGTTCCTTTCTGCACATCTGCACAAAGAAGGCACAAGCAGACATCTCGTCCCCAGTTTCTTGGGGTCAGCCATCCTGACCACATCAGCAGCATATGGGGCATGGTGTGGGGCTCGGCGCTGTCCAGATTTGTGCTGGCTGCCTCCATGAGAGCTGCCTTGTTGGCATATTCTCCAAAGGGGCCAGATGGCATCTCCAAAGGGTGATGAATTGGTGAAGGTGCCGTAGGTCTACTCATTGAAAAACAGGAGTGGGTTCTGAAGAACTAAAACTCTAGAATCTTAATAATTGCAAAAATAGCAAAAGTAGAAAAGATTTCCATGGCTGTATGTTAAACTATTAGATTTACTAAAGAATGCATACTCTTTCTTAGAACATTCTGTTTTCAAAATACATGGCATACACTTCCCATCTACTAGGTTTTCTTAAAGAACTCTCACTAAAATTCCCAAAATATTTATTTATAGCAGAAAAAACTCAAGTAAACATTTCTACTTTTCTTGGTTTAGAAAATTACTAAGTTTCTTAATGTATTAAAATTACATGATTGATATTTAAATAAAGAAAATACAAAGCACATTTATTGAAAAATTAAGCATAAAAAGGTTTTGTTAATACAAGCTATCTTAACATGTTATTAATAAATAATATTTTAGATAGTGGCTAACAGACTAACCAAGAGATCATATATTAACTATAAATTTCTAAACTTTATTATAAACACCTTGAGGGCAAGACCAGTATCTTTTTATCTTTCACAGTTTCTGTAGCACCGACCACAAGAATACTGAAAGTCTGCATGATCATGCCAATGAGAACCCTAATGCAATCATGGTCCAGAACCGCCACTTTCAGGATAATCAAGAAATACAAAAATCAAGACTTAGAAAATCAATGTATAAGAAAGTATGTGTTAAAAACAACCTCTCGTGTACTTACATCTTACCACACAGAGCAAGGAAGAATTTAATGCTGTTTTGAACGAACATCGACAACATGTTAACCTCACTGCTGTCATTCTGGGAGGATCAAGGAAAACATGATTCATTTAAAAAAAAAAAAAAACAACAACGAACAAACCCTGAAGACTTCAATTACACACTTTCTCCTCATTCTCCCTTTTTGACACCTTTTTTTCCCCCAAGCTTTCAAAACTGAGAAAATCTCACCTTTAAATACCTCATATTGTTAACGGCTGCCCTCTGAGGAATGTGACTCATTGTCAAATCAAGTAAACAGGAATGTAACAGAATTTTGATATTTCTTTTCACCTAAATTTGAGAGTATTATCTTACTTTTTAACCCGTTACTATGAAGTCTTCTGATGCCATATGCTGAGTTATTGGCCTTTACTTTCTTCATCATGGGGACAGCATTGTCTAGACCTTCTCTAATGGAGGCAGAAGGGAAGAACTGTGGCGCCACAGTCCACCTGCCGATCCTAAGAGCTGCTGACATCATCAGTCTGGGCTGAGAAGCTGCAAGGCGGAGGGGCCGGGTCAGTTCTTCATGCACATTCACTTGGATTCTTTCCAAAGCAACTGTCGTGGCCTAATCCAGGGGTAGCAGTGGGAACCCTGCCCAGGGGCACCTCTTGAGTCTCAGAAAAAGTCGGGACACAGTTTTGCTGTAGAAGCTGGTGCCTTGTGTCTGACTGGTGCTTGTTTCCTCAGGGGCAGCAGATGGGGAGATACAGGCCTGGATGGTGCGGCCGGCTGTGAAGTGCTGATATCGATTTGTTTTGTTTGCTGAGAAGAAAACAACTTAGGCAGAAGGACATTTCGAAGTGTCATTATCCCAGTAGTCTAAACTTACTTGCATGGATTTTTTTTAACTTTTCTAAGTTTGAAATTATTTCCAACTAGAAAGTTTCACGAAGCCCTGCTCACTCTTCATCCAGATTTGCCAATTGTTCCTTTGCCGCAGTTGCTGTCTCGCTCTTTCCCTCTGTCTACACACACATACTCTCTCTCTCACATACTGTTCCTGAGCCATCTGAGAGTAGGTTGAACACACCATGTTCCTGTACCCCTTAACACGTCAGTGCATTTTCCAAGAACAAGAATATTCTGTTTCCTAACCATAGTCAGTATATATCAAGTCCTGGAAATTTAACATTAATTTAATACTATTATCTAATCTACAGTCCAAATTCATCAAGTGATCTTAAAATGACCTTTTACCCAAAATTTGTTTCCAGTACAGAATTGAGTCCAGGTTCATGTTTAGGCAGCACGTCTCCTTAGCCTCCCTTCATCTGGAACAGTTGGAGACATTGCTATTTTTGAATACAGGCCAGGTATTTTATAGAATATCCCTCAATTTGGGTTTGTCTGGCTTTCCTACATGATTAAAGTTATGTTTTGATTTCAACTCATAACTGATGTGTCCTTTGCAACATATGAACACGAATGCGTCTTTGTTCCGTTATTGGTAATGTTAATTTTGATCACTTGGTTAAGGTGGTGTCCGCTGTATAGTTACTATTTTTCTTTTGTAATTAATAAGTAACTTGTGGGGGGATACTTTGAAAGTATATAAATAGCTTAGTTTTCAAGTATTGATAATTCTTCCCTGAATTGATTTTTTTTTTTTTTTTTTTTTTTTCTTTTTTTTCTTTTTTCGTGACCGGCAATGGATCGCAACCCTCAGTGTCACGCCCGTACCAGACTGGGACCGGCAACGGGATCACAACCCTCGGTGTTGCCCCCGCTCCTCACTCAGCCAGTGAGTGGCCGGTCTGTATGTGGGATCCGAACCCTCGGCGGGAGCGCCACCGCACTTCCCAAGCGGCACACTGTAGCAGTGCGCCACCGGGCCGGCCCATTCCCTGAATTGATTTTTATGATGATGGTTACAAACTGATTTTCCAAGACCATCATTCTTTGTATGTTTATTACTTGACATTCTACTCAGAAAAAGCATTTCCTTCTCCCTATATGCGCTCATACAAATATCTATCTACTAATACCAGTATGAACTCATGGATTCTTTCCCTCTCGATGGGTTATATCATACTACTGTCTTTATTTATCTTGATGCTCAAAGCTGATGTTCCAGATGTGGCCAGCAGGATCCCCTCAGCTGGCTCCGGTGTCCTTCTGACATGCCCATCAGTTACTGAGCACTTCCTCGCTTCCTAGCACAAGACGTTCTAGGGTTATCTTGCACCTTTCTTACCCTGGACCTAGGATCCACCATTTCTCTAAAGAGGCTTGGCTCCTCTTAGTGAGGAAAAGTATTTAGAAAGCAGATCTGGACATTAGGTGTGCTCACTGCTACCAGGATGCCTCAGCTTCTGAGCCCTTTCAGTCGGAGTGAGTGTACGCATAGGTGGATACACAGACACACACTCTCATTAAATCATGAGTTTATACTGATACCGGTAATTCCTTTCTAACCCCACAGGGTTTTTCCCTGCCTTCCCCTGTTCTGTATTTGTATTTTTCTTCCTTCATGGTAAGATCAACTTATTTCCTTATTTGCTCAAACTTATAATACACACATTGTAATTTTAGAATTGCTGCACTTGTACCACTATGAAAAATACACCCACAGAGAAGAGTTAAGATTTGTCTGCAGTTCTTATTTTTCTTTAGACTGAGGATATATTATGTTTGAAAGTTACTGAAATTAATTTTTCACCCTTCAAAGTGATTATGTTATTCATTTGAAATACAGTTGGACCTTTTGTTTGTTTCTTTTCAGTTTTACATAGATCCCTGTCCTTTCTTGCTGACTTGCTTTTTGAGTAAGTAAAACATTAACATGATCCACAACCATACCAAAGGTACACTCAGAAGGGCAACTCCCTCTCCATCCTTCCACTCCTTTCTTCTCCACCCTTTGTGGGGAACCAACTACATTAGTTTCTTTTATATATATATAAAGTACAATAGATTTTAAAATAAGCTATCACAATGCATTTTTATTTCAAATCATGCCTTCCTCAAACTCATAAGACCCACGGTACCCAATAAAGGTCCAAAGTCTCTGTTAATTGTGGCATTTTTAACTGTTATCAAAATCTTTTTATTTCCATGCTTGATTTCTTTCAAAATTACACTTCGATTTCTTGTTGACCAAAACTGCCTGAAGTTTGAAGCAGGGATTTAGGGTAAGTACCAGGTGTTACGGATTACCTGTTCTTCCGAAACCTCTAGAGGAGGGGATGCTTGTTGCTCAGACTGCTGACCATCCTGATAGTTTATATTTTGTCGCTGACGTAGAGGAGGGAAAAGACGATTCCAACTGATCATTCCTCCCTAAAAAGAGATCAACACATAATTTTCAGACACAGAATGAGCAGAGCCATCATAATGCCTGGAAGGGCTTTCTCTTAACACAGTCACTTGTACAGACTGGGAAATGGGAAATGAAATGTCACACTCATCTGCTCTAGGCAAGCAATACAAATCCAAAGTATCACAACATCCTTCAATCAACAGGATAAAATCAGCAGCCTGCAGTATGCACAGGAGAGAAAATAAGGTAATGGGTAGTGTAAAAGTTGCTTGTGCAATTTGGCTCTGAAAGACAGTGAAAGACACATCAGACATTCCTAATCCCAGCCCCACTGAGTTCTCACTGACCCTGTCCCAACTACTGTTGGCTCTCAGGAGTTCAGGGCTTTGCAAGGTGTGGCGGGGAGGAAGATATGCAGACAAGGCTAATTCACTGCAGGTAACTAGAAAGCTGGAGTCTCCTCCAGCAACTCTTTCAGATGCTCCTCCTCCCTCTTGTTATTTAAGTTGTGAGTGTGCTTAGCGGGGGGGGG